TACTCGAGATATGTATGGTGTCCTTTTAGTGTCGTGGTAGAGAGATGTACAGTGTTTTGGTAGTGTCATGGTAGAGAGGATTTCAATGCTCAGCACTGACGTAGTAAGATGTATGGTGTTCTAGTAGTCTCGTTGATCGGAGACGTACAGTGTTCTTGTAGTGTCATTGTAGAGACATGCACGTTGTTCTAGTAGTGACATGATAGATAGACGTAGCATGTTATAGCAGTGTCGTGGTAGAGAGACGTACGGTGTTCTGGTAGTGTGGTACGGAGAAATACGGTGTTCTAATAGTGTCGTTAAAGAGAAACGTAGTGTTCTATTGTTGTGGTAGAGACATACGGTGGTATAGTAGTATCATGGTAGAGACGTACGGTGTTCTAATCGTGTATTGGTAGAGAGACGGATGGTGTTCTAGTAGTGTCATGGTAGAAAGATGTACGGTGATCTAGTCGTGTCGTGGTAGACAGATGCATGGTGTCCTAGTAATGTTGTGGGAGAGATGTAGTGTTCTAGTAGTGTCGTGGAAGAGAAACGTACGGTGTTCTATTAGTGTCATCAGAGACGTATCATCATATAGAAAAGCTATTTTATTAGTGTCATGGTAGAGAGACGTACGGTATTCAAGTAGTGTCGTGGAAGAGAAACATACGGTGTTCTAGTGGTGTGATGGTAGACACATACAGTCTTACAGTAGTGTCGTCGTATAGAACCGTAAGGTATTCTAGTAGTGTCTTGGTAGAGAAAAGTACGGTGTTCTCGTAGTATCATGGTAGAGAGACGTACGCTGTTATAGTAGTGTATTGGTAAAGAGACAGATGGTGTTCTCGGATGGTTGTGGAAGACAGACACATGGTGTTCTAGGAATGTTGTGGGAGAGACGTACAGTGTGCTAGGAGTGGTACTACAGAGACGTGTGGTGTCCTTTTAGTGTCGTGGTAGAGAGATGTACAGTGTTCTTGTCGTGTCGTGGAAGATAAACATACGGTCTTCTAGTAACGTCGTGGTAGAGAGACATACAGTGTTATAGTAGTGTTGTCGTATAGAGACATAAGGTGTTCTAATAGTGTCGTGGTAGAGAGACGTACGCTGTTCTAGTAGTGTATTGGTAGAGAGACAGTGTATTGGTAGACAGACGCATGGTGTTCTAGGAGGGTTGTGGCAGACGCTTGGTGTTATAATGTTGTGGGAGAGACGTACGGTGTGCTAGTAGTGTGGTACTAGAGAAACGTAGTGTGTTCTTATAGTGTCGTGTTCGAGAAATGTACAGTGTTCTAGTCGTGTCGTGGAACAGAAACGTACGGTCTTCTAGTAACGTGGTAGAGAGATGTAAGGTGTTCAAGTAAAGTCGTGGTAGAGAGACGTACGGTCTATCGTGGAAGAGAGACATGATAATTGTTTTTTTACCCTTTTATCTGGCAACAAAACTGACACTTTTTTTTACAAGGAGTCATGTTTGCATTGACCACAATACCTGCGGTCGGAATGCAAACACAACTCTGATAATGTATGCACTGTCCTTGAAATGTATTGGTTCACACCCGAGACAGCTTTTCTTAAAGCCTCATCTCACATGGCGTCATCTGGTCCAACACCATGGTAGAGAGACATACGGTGTTGTAGTAGTGTCGTGGTAGAGATGTACAGTGTTCGTGTAGCTTTATGGAACAGTAAGACGAACAGTGTTCTAGTCGTGTCATAGTCGAGAGACGTATGGGTGTTCTTGTAGATTCGTGGTAGAGAGACGTAAAGTGCCATAGTAGGGTCGTATTGAGACGAAAGTGTTCCAGTAGTATTGTGGTAGAGAGATGTAGTGTTCGTGTAGCTTTATGTAAGAGAGACGTACGGATTTCTGGTAGTGTCGTGGTAGAGGGAGTTGGTGGTGCTTTAGTAGTGTTGCGGTAGAGAGACATAGCATGTTATAGTAGTGTCATGGTAGAAATAATTAGTGTTATAGTAGTGTCGTGGCAGAGATATACGCTGTTCGAGGAGTGTCATGGTATCGAGACATACAGTGATCTAGTAGTGGTGGTAGAAAGACATACGATGGTCTACTAGTATAGTGGTAGAGAGACGTACAGTGTTTTAGTAGTGTCACGGTAGAGAAACGTTCAGTGTTCTCGTAGCGTCGTGGTAGAGAGACATACAGTGTATAACATCCTGCCTCAGCAGCTCTCGCAATTTTTTCACCTGATGACGATTGCTTGCGTTGCGATCGAAACGTCGTAATATTTTTTTTCTACATGGCTTTACCGAAATACCCAAAGAATATAGACGTACAGTGTTTGCGTAGTGTCAGGGTAGAGAGATATACGGTGTTTTGGAGGGCATGATAAAACACTTTGAGGGAGATGCATCGGTTTGTTTGTGGGATACATAATGAGCCACACCTGGTGATCATTTCTTTCAAGACAAATTTAGACCCATTCATAGCCTTCATTATTATTGACATCAGGATGTAAGCAGTCTTAAACCCTTGGTGATTAGTTAAAAAAACAATGCATATATTATTACACTTTAACACATGCCGGATAAAACACACTAAATATAATATATTTTTACACAATATAGTCGTCACTAATTGTAAGCATTCACTTTTGCGTCGCACCATTCATTGGCTTCGATTAAAATTCTTACCAATCAGTTGGACAATAGACAACATATTTCAGAGACTGCTTCAATCATCTTGGGCACGGTACAAAGTGAGAGGAATGCATCGAATACGGAGTTACAGATCAGGAGGGTGGCATTCTTCCCATCTCGGCAGACCACACGAGTCACAAGGAGCATTGGCATGAACCCTTTCTCACCACGAGCACGACGGCTCTTGTGGCACACTGCCTCCGCCGAGCCTCGGCAGACGTCGCCATCTCCAATGTGGGCACATTGCACCGCGGCGTTTCGCTCGTGCACGCACTCACGGAGGCTTTCTGCATTGTGCACTTCTGTCATTACGACCATTCCTATCGCACGCATGTGCGTGCATGCCTGCGGTAGCGTCATGGTTAGCGCGTTGCCCTATGAACCTGGCGACCCGAGCTCAATTTCCGCTCATGGCCAACGTCAGTGACGATCATCTGAACCGGTCCTGGGCCTCCCCTAGGTCGACTCAGCCTCAAATTTGGACCTGGTGCGGTGTGAAAACATCGCCACTGGAGAAACAAAGGCGGACGGGCGTGGTCCTGGCCACCCACCTCTTATGCTGTGCCGGCCTTCACAGGCGTTCGCTAACAGTACTTGCTCCAACAGTGAGTGGGGGCTTTCAGAGGGGGGGTCTTTGTCTTTTGCATGCCTGCCAGCGGTACCACTGGGCAGGCAGCGGGCGAAACGTCGTTACCAACAAAACTTACATGACGCTGAACAATGTCCGCTCGGCTAAATGATATTATCAATGCGTCAAGTTTCAGGGACAAAAATGTCGGGGAATATAACAAAACAAAATCAACACATCTGTAATGACATTTGTGGTAATTAAAATCTAATGAATCAGTTGATGCCGCGCATTGCATGTATGTTGTACAGCATATAGTTGGGTGCATTACATCATTCTAACCAGGGCTCAGTGGTAGAGCGAGCGGTTCGCAGTCAGAAGGTTGCCACTTAAAATCCTGTTTGGTGGTGTACTCAGCCCATCATCCCTCTGGGTTGATAAAAATAATAAGTACTACTCAGTGGGGAAGTCAACAGTGTTTGTCCTCCTTATGCACAGACTCGCCCCCACCATTTCCATGTGGAATCTCCACCACGTGGTGCTCCTCTGTGCTTAAACAGACGAGCACCAACTCGGTGCTCATCTGAGAAGGAAAACAATTTGGATGTTTTTTTTACCACAGTAACTGGTAGAAGCTTTCATTACAACCAATATATTTCCGTCGTTGTTGCACCACACGCAAGCCCGCTGCCAGAAAGTCACCTTCATATTTTCGTGGGGCCTCGTAAAAAAGAAAGGAGACTTTGACATTCTGTCCTTAACATCCCGTATTATATAATCTGCCGGGAGATGTCAATACCGTTGGATGCCATTCACATCACGGATACAGGAACTAATGTTTGTCTTAAGAGCAGATAAAGCTTGTAAGGGTCATTTGGTAAGGACCCCACGCTCTGCATGCACCTGCTAAGACTAACACTACATCAGGGATTACAAAAAAAAAAATCGGTGTGCACTGCTTTCAAGTTTTAGGTTTTCTCGCCCCCTCTCCCAGCACTCTGTGTAACACAGGAACTCGAGTGGAAGGACTCAAGAGTGAGTGCACAAACACAATGACATCGCATTAAGCTGGAGACTGCAAATCCTGGAGCAGACGAAAATAACTAACGTGCACTTTATTTTGCCCTGCGTTTTATGAGAGATCATACAATCATCAAGTGCTGCTGCAACAGACACTGAGAGTACATACCAAATATTATTCCAGTGTTTGTTACCGATAATTGATTACCCACCAGTGCACGATGATTTATCAAGACACGTTGAACCGCTGTGTGCCTGCAGAGTCAAGGATCTTGCCATTAAAGGCCACATTATACTCAGCACATATACAATGGCGAGCATTAAGACAATCAATATTCAAGAATTTTTGTGAGTGGAAATGCCATTCTGCTCTCATCACAAGTACGACCATTATTGACACGGGCACATCATTTGAAATTCACTTGCAAAAATGCAATCGTAGAATTAGAATTACCGAGCTTTTTAATGGATTATATGGCAAAGCTTTGGGAGCTAAATGCTGGCAGGAAAAAAACAAATGATAGATGAGGTCCTAACAATAAAAAGTTTTTGTTTATATAGCAAATGCCACACCACAATAAACATCACATTCCACTCACGTAGGTGCAGCCATGCAGCCAGGCCACCTCAGATGCTTAACTAACTCAAAAGGCCAAACATATTAAATGAGCAGACCTTACATTGAGTACATGACGTGTTCCCGGGTTGAGGCCTGCGTGCGTGCGTGCGTGCGAGCGAGGGTTTTGGAACCGGTGGCACCGGGGCGTACCTTCCGCTTGCGTTCGCGGGATCGGCGGCGGCGTTCGCGCTTTAGCTCGGCGGGATCGAGGATCGCCTCGAGGTCTCGGTTCTTCTTGAGCTGGGATGCAGCATGAGCCATCGCGGAGCGCACCCAGCGCTGACGCGGCGGAAGCCCTCACGCTCCCTCCCGTCAACGCTCGCCCAACGAGCGTGGCCGACGCAGATGAATCGTGGTGCCAATTCAAATAAATAATCTTCATAAAATCAACGAATTAATTTCCAACGGATTGGACAACAGGAAAAATGAGTGCCGAAAAACGAAAAAAGCGAGGCTCCCCAAAAACGGCACCGAGCCACCAGGAAGCAGGGAGGAGCAGCCGATCACAGCAGCGAGCTTCCGTGCGGCGGTGCGGAGATCAAAGCATCCCTGGCAACATCAGCACAATCTGGCGTGGCATGCTTACCAGGGTCACCCGATTTGCTGGAGCCACTCACGATTGCAAAATAAATGAATATCCAGTTTGATTACCAAACAAGCGAGCACCAAGGTCCTAATCTTTTTCCAGCGTAGAGCTCCCCCAAAACTCAACGGCACCAGACAACGGTGCAGATGACACCGCAGGAATATATTTTTTTCCCCCGTCCACGAGAAACCCGCCACTGCAGCAAATAAAAAAAAATCACTCCGTAGTCACGAATCCATTGTGCTGCATGTTATATCCGAGGAAGAGCACCAGGATTTCATGCCGCTCCACCGACGAGGCTACGCCGCTGTGAGCACGCCGGGGCAATATCTGTCCGGAGCTTGTCGACGCATGCGTCTTGCTTCACAGCGAGAAGCGTGCGGGAATCATGGAGCCAGCATAAAGGCCCCCCCACCGAGCGAGTCCGGGGGAAGCAGGCTGCGTAACGGTGCTGCTGGAGGGAGCGGAATAACGTCACCTGACCACAGCGCAAAATCCACGGCGCATTAACCGGCGGGCGTGCACACCGTTTCCACACCGAGCACCCCCACTCTGCACCGTGCTGCAGGGACGTATAACAGTAGTAGTAGTAATAATAATACTGTACAGAAGAGACGCAGATGCACGTCAGTCCGCTACTTTATTGCCACTGAAATGGAGACTAAGGCAGCGCGCGAGCGAGCAGGTGAGCGAATGTGCTCGGGTTCGGCTCCAGATGTAGCCTCTTCACTGAAGCGCCCATCGTCCGTGGAGTCTCTCCAGCAAGCTGCGAGCAATACCGCATGTTCATATTGCTACATTATGTTAATACAATGATAGGACTGGAGGGGGGAGGGTTTTGAGTGGGAGTCGGGGTTTGAGTTGGGGGGTGGAGCCTGGGGTGTAGGGGGGGCGGTGTGGTTTGCACTGTCGGAGGAGCTGCAATGAGCTGATTTACACAGATACATCTCCTTCCCCATTGTCCTCCCCTCCTACCCCACAACCCCCCTCCAGCTCTCCATCCACCCCCACATGCCCCACTGCAATCCCTTCTCCGATTGTTCCATTTGCCTCCCATTTTGGTCCAGATTCTGCACGGGAGAGCCCGAATGAAGGATAATTTAATTTATCCCACAGACCAGGAAGGGGAGTGAATACAAATGCTGGGGATAGAATAAGATAAAAAATATTTTCCTAAATAATTTTAAATGTCCCACTTCACAATTGCTCCTCCCGGTATAAGGTTGTGATTTTTCTCTCAGGTCCGTGAAGTACGGTCACGTTGTGGCTTAGCTTTGGAGTCGGTGGAGGCCAGTGTCCAAAGACGTGTGCCCTGCGTGGCGTGTAGACACCAATTTACACAATTCTGTCTATTCGAGCCGTGCGCACAGCCACTCGGCACAGAACATTTGGCAGGAGATGCGCAATGGATTCGACATGAACCAAAAAATATTCACTGCATTTAACACTGACAATGCCGTAAACAAAGCAAAATATATAACCAGCTGATGCGGTGGGCAATGTTCCTCAAATAAGGAAAAGAGGTGTTTATGACAAATACCATTTTTTTTAATCTGTGCTTTTTGCACCTCTGCCAATGCAGTAATTTTTGTTTAATTTTGCATTCAAAATTTCTGCTTTATTTAGCAGAAATCGTGAATGCAACATTCATCTATCATGGGGTCCGTGTGGTAGCCTTGAATATATCACGTGTGATTTTCTGTGCACAGATCAGAACGGTGGCGTACTGAGAGAGAGAGAGGAGGAGGCGTGCAGCGTTTGAACGAACGGCGTGGCAGCGCCCAGCGAGACGATCAGCCGCTGCCTGACTCCACGCTCAGGCCCGAGCGTAGAAGCGGAAACCAAAACCACGCGCCCGCCTCCACCATTAGCCGGCGCCTTCCAAACAGACAAAGGCAGTGCGCGTTCGTGTTCCATGCAACGCTTATTCTTTTTCTCTTTCTATGGCAATGGCTCGAAAACAAAACGGTGGGCACTTTCCTGAACTATTAGCCTGATTGCATGGTCAGTGTGGTTAAATATAGTCAAATGTGGACAAACAACGCCCTAGACTGACATGGGGGGAGGCTCTGATCGACAATGGATAGACTAAAATGTGCAAATCACAAAGGCAGCAATACCCCGATTTATGTCTCGCCTATATATGTCGTCACGTTATTAATACATGTACCACGACGACCAGATTTGCGTCGCCTCAACCCCACACTTATGTGGCTGACAGCATCGTCGTCCGTCCTTTCTCCGTATCCGTTGCCTCTCAGCCTTCGCCTCCCCTACCACCCACTACTACCCTGTACATCGCTTTGATTGACGTTTCGATATTCGTCGCCACACCTTTCAGCAACGCATCCAAAACGTAAAACGGGGTATTTGTGAAATATTAAAAATAATCTATGCCTCGCGCTTTCTGGCTGGCTGCTGGCTGGGCTGCTTTCCACCCGAACAATAATTATATTGTTAGTGGCTGTGGGCTGTTGCCACCGAAACTAGCTGGGTAACTGACTAAAAGGCATTTTTTTAAGTAGCAAATAAAGATTGAATTTAAATGTCATAAGATCAGAAGACGTATTAAGAGAGAGCGACACCGAAGAGGTGTGACTATGGAAGAATGCAGAAGACTGACACGGTTCATTTCAAATTTCTTTTTAATTCTATTAAGGTGATTTTTTTTGCGAAAATATGCTTTATATCCTAGAGAATTAAAAAAATCCCCACAAATATTATCTTGACATTATATTCCATAAAAAAATTTGGATTTTAGTGCTCCAAGTACAGGAGTGTGAGAAGAAGATGAATATTACAGCTGTCTGTTATGATCCATTGCAGAACAAGGGGTTATTTGCTTGTAATAACACTATGTAACACAATGTTTGTCCCTGGGCAGTAAGTTTTATATTTTTAATTGCTTACGCCTAAAAAGTATTATTCCCTAAAACTTTGCTTTTGTGACCAGGATAGTGATATTTTGAAATGTACCTATTTTCAATGAGAAAACGGGCGAATTTGTGTCTTTTCGTTCACACAGTCAGAAAACAACAACATATGAATCGAAATTAACATGTAAAATTACTAAATTAATAAAAAAAAATTACCACAAAATATTTAGAAGTGAGTAGTTTTTCGAGATTTACGTTTATACTGTAAATCACTTTCACAAATCAGCCCCCAAATGTAATTAAAGCATTTAATGCCAAACATAGCATCAGCTAAGGAGGTGAAGGAGCAGGGATGGTCAATTTCACTGAACACAAACAGGAAGATATGACCATTGCTCGATACGACATTGCCTGGTGTACACGATGTTGCCCGGTGTACACGTTGCCTGGTGTACACGATGCTACGGCTCTGTATACAACGCTGCCTGGTGTATACAATGGTGCCTGGTGTATACATTGCTAAGCCCACTGCAGGCCCTGAGGGAGCTGGCTCCATTTGCTCTCCCGGCGTGGCAGTTGAGACAATTGGCAGGTTCGTCAAATCTCCCATCGCCTGTCGGGTCCAGTTCTATAAACGGGTGCACTACATTTAGCCCATCAGCAGGTTGTATGTGGTGGGGTGAAGTGTGGGTATTCTCATCACTTAATTTTTTGTTATTTTACCATATAAGGCCCATTGAGCTCTATAGCTCTTTTTCACAACCGACCTGGCTATCACAAATGATAGCTCAACGAAGCGGTGATATGATAACTGCAGGGCTGCGCCTTTACCTTTCACAGACAATGTACAGACTTTGGAAAATCAAACCTCGAAATAAATGGGTACATAGAGTCAGTGAGATGCCAAGATAATATGGAGCAGTCCATACATTTAAGTGGCAATCATTTGGACCATAGTAGGAGAGTTGGCAGTAACTACACAGGAGTGCGATTCTTCAGGAATCAAACGTTGTTTTAGGAGTCCAGATTACTTTGGACAGAGCTGCCCAGCTACCAATAATGCTTTTAACAACAATTATATAGAAATTAAGTTGTCTAATTGTGACCAAATAAATGAAAGGGCATCACCGTGGCGACATGTTAACTACCTCGCCTGGTATACAGAAGGTCGTGGGTTCGATCCCGACCCTGACACCTGTATATTTTGAGTATGCATGTTCTTCCCGTGGTCGTGTGGATTTTATCTAGGTCTTCTGGTTTTTCCCTCCACATTTAGAAACATGCGTTTAGAGTATTTGGCGACTATACATTTCCACACGATAAGTCACTTCGTTGAGCTATCATTTGTGGCCAGGTTGCTTCTGAAAAAGAGCTATACAACTCAGTCGACCATACCTGGTAAATAAAAAATAGTTAATATTGGTTGTTTAGTTAAATGAGTGCAGAATACACACAACAGCATCAACATGGGAGACTTTAACGCAAGGGCAAAGAGAAGTATGAAAAGAGCATTGGTAAATTCGTTACTGAAGTGAGCACGATGAAATAATTTAATCTCGGTTGTAGCCAGTAGAGACGTGAAGATAATGAAATTGTTTCGAACCAAGGGGAGTCTAGAGAATAGACAAGGAGCCCAAATGGAGACAGAATTTAATTTACTTATAATAATTTCAACTTGCAACCCACCGCACAGTATTCACTCACTCTCGAAGACAGTGAGCGACTCTGAGGTTTCAGGAACCACTGACAAGTGGGAGGGTAGCCCATAATTGTCCAAGCTTTGCGGTCCTCTATATATTAAGGTGATTCTCAGGGGGCAAACCCCAGACTGTGAGATACATTTCGATTTAAAGCTTTCGTGACTGCAGGGATTCATCTTCTTGGTTCTTTCGGTAAAGTCACGTAGAAGGGAAGTAATAAAATAATAAAAATAAAACATAATAAAACAATTCTCACGACGTTTCGGCCACAACGCAAGCAGCCGTCCTCAGGTGAAAACCAGGTCCGTCGAGGCGACAGAGTCTGAATGAAACAGCACACGGGCTTAGAGCATATATATAAGCTGGGCGCATTGACAAAGGAATTTGCATATCAACAGGAATTTAGCATATTTATGGGAAATGCAGGAATGTAATTAGTACTGCATATGCATGTGCATTATGCAGGATTAACAGCATCAAAGGGAGCTGCAGTTACTGCTGCTGCAGCAGTTGCTGCTGCTTCTGCAGTTTCTGCTGCTGCTGCAGTTGCTGCTGCTGCTGCAGTTGCTGCTGCTGCTGCAGTTGCTGCTGCTGCTGCAGTTGCTGCTGCTGCTGCAGTTGCTGCTGCTGCTGCACTTGCTGCTGCTGCACTTGCTGCTGCTGCTGCACTTGCTGCTGCTGCTGCACTTGCTGCTGCTGCTGCACTTGCTGCTGCTGCTGCAGTTGCTGCCTTATCCATTTTAATATAACACTATGTATTATTCTACCCACCCTAATGTGTATCATACTGCTATATGTTTACTGTACAATTACGACACCATACATTACTCTGCACACTGCACCATGCCAGTGAGTGGAACGCGGTCTGAAAGTCACCGTTAACGTGAACACAATCAGTTAAGATCCGAAATGGTTTATTACGTCCTTCCAATGATTGCTAAGCCAGAATCCATCTTCTCGGTTGAAATTGTCTCTGTGTTTGTATATGTGGATCGCCTCATGAACGAATCTCTCATGATAGCCAGATGGCTTGCAGAGAACCTCAGTCTTGGAGAAGTCAATGTCATGTGAGCCCACTGAATTGTAACAGTGATCTGCCACGGCTGAGGTGTTTGTCCTACCGTGTTTCAGGTCTGCCTTATGTTCACGGATGCGGTCCGAGACATGTCGTT